ATTGTTTTCAGGTTTTCAATATTCACCGTTCATACAGGTGGGCAGACAACTTAAAATTGCCAAGGCTCCAGATGGTCTACATGTTGTTCAAGCAAAACTGTTGAATTTGGGAAGAATTGCAGGGCCATTTATCAACCCACCATTTAAGAACATACAGGTATACCTATTTTGTGCCGAAGAAACATAGCTAAAGTAACATTCGAAAAATTACCTGATGTTTCAATTATCAGGGGAATTCCATTAATGATCATACAGTGGCGGGGAGGTGAGAGTACCTCACAACAAGATTCAGGAAGTGATGTTGGCCTCAGAAATAACAAAGAGAATTGCAGTACTTGTTGGTAGACTCATTTGCAGAGCCATTCCTATGGGCCGAGCATTTTGCCGTAGATTGATTGACCAAATTAGTAAGTAAAATTGCCTTTCATCGCATTGCTACACGCTCAAAATGAAGATCTTAACATCTGGTTGGAATTTATTTCTAATTTTAAAATTAGGATCTTAGCAGAGATTAATTGGGATGACAATATACATTGAAATACTAGATGCAGCAAAGCGAGGATTCGCATACTTTCATGGCCGTTGGATATATAGTCCCTGGCCAAAGGTGGTGGATCGAAGCGAATCAGGATCTTAAGGTTGTTATTTCGCATATATCAATCAGACTTTGGGTCAAATACATTGCAAATTTTAGCTTTTGAACTGTGACAATTAGGCTGCAGTTCATTATGCTATACATGCAGAGAAAGGTTCTTGAAAATAGTCCTGTATGCCTTATTTATTGAAGATGTTGCCAACAAAAACATTGAAATAGAGGCATAGGGTTGTCAAACCCGATATGTTAAGGGGAAAGTTCTTCTCGAGGTGCGATACCGGGAAGAAGGTGAGGCGAAGCAGAGCCTTGTTCCCGGTATCGCACCGAGAATTGGTCAGATAATATGCAATAACGAAAAATAATAGCTGTCTCCAACATAGAATACAATGTATGGAAAATACACTGTTGGCGAGATTTGTACCGAAATGTACAAAACTAAGTAAAGACTATGTTAATAACGCGCAAATATGAAAAGCTATTCCGAATCTCCTACATAGACATCAATGATATATTAAAAAAAGAAAAATTTAACAGCGCAGTTTTTGTTAATTTTCTTTTGGGAGTGTTAAAAATACAAACAAGCTAAACAAACACCATTCAACACTTGAAACTGACAATGATATTCAAAGATCTTGCATTGTATGCGGGGTAAGTGTGAGAGATACGTTGCTGCACCAGAATCTCGTGCAAGTCGAACAATTAACAATCAAGTGCAATGTAAAACCACGTGATTTAAACTGACAGTGCTATACAAGCCATTACACCCGCCTCCGTGGTGTAGTGGTTAGAGCGTCCGCCCGGAGAACGGAGGGTCGCGGGTTCGATCCCCGACCGCGTCATACCAAAAGAAGTTAAAATATGGTACTTGTTGGTCCCTGCCTGGCGCTCGGCATTAATGGGTACAACAAGGACTGGTCGGCTCGGAGTCAGTAGGCCTATAATGTGTCTGAGTGGGGTATTCATGCTTCATTGCGGCATGGTATCTCAGTGGGCTAGCACTATAAAACCAGCTTAAGTCTTGGCTAGTACAAGCAGCCGCACATACACATACACACGCATGCACGTCGTCATATGAGCGAAATATTCTAAAGCACGACGATAAACCCGATTTCACCTCACCTCACAAGCCATTACAGCAAGTGAATTCCGACATGGAGGTGCTTTTGGCTTCTCAGAGGGCTGCTACGGCCCGGTTCCAGGCTGGCGTGGATTTTGAAGCAAACTGGTCATCTGGTAAGTGCCCTACATAGCATTGTCTATATCTGTACTTGTACTCAGTTGAAGCTTGGTGTTGTTCTAGGAAGGTGAGACCCGTGAAGGTCCGGGTTAGAATATTGGCCTTCAGTAACCCATGCTTGTCGTAAGAGGCGACTAACGGGATCGGGTGGTCAGGCTCGCTGACTTGGTTGACTCATGTCATTGGTTCCCAATTGCGCAGATCGATGCTCATGCTGTTGATCACTGGATTGTCTGGTACAGACTCGATTATTTACAGACCGCCGCCAACTAGCTGGAATATTGCTGAGTGCGGCGTAAAACTAAACTCACTCACTTACTCACTAGGAAGGTGAGGTGGGTGGGTGGTGGGTGTCATCAATTTTCTTCACATGTACTACAAATATTTTAAAACTTGCTGAAAAATTATAGGAAGAGGGAGGGGGGGTCATTGATTTCGTACATAATATGCAGGGGGTCACTTAATTTGTCCATAAACTTCATGGGGGTGGGGGGTGATTCATATTGTACTTGCTTCTCCATAAAACTCATCATCACCCCCACTAGCCGTAAATTTTGAATGGTCCCTAAGGCACCATTAAATTGGGCTTAAATTGGGTTGGGAAATTGAGTTGCCAGCACGACAGCATGAATTTGGGAATTTATCTGATTGTTTAGAATAGCATTGGTTACTTTACAACTGTTGCAGGTGTGCGGACGTACAAGAGAGTAAATTAAGAACACATACATGAAGATGGTCAGTAGCATTCTCACCAGTAAGAAGCCAAAAACCGAGGAAGTACGATGCAAAGCGGAACACAAAGCTTCAAATCCAGAAGGTATGTTTTCTTTCTCTCAGTGGAAACATAATTTTAGGGAAAAAACGTTCTCAATACTAACTCTTCTAATGACATTAAACATTATTGGTCAGGGGAAATTGCACTGCTTATAGGCCAGAGTGGCCCACCGCCCTCCCCTCCCATTCCATTGGTTATGAGTTTGTACTAACCCCAAGTCTGTTGGTATTCGAGATTCTTAAGTAAAACTTGCTTGATACTGATGCATGTAATTTGTTGGTAAACGTCATTTTCACGTTAACAGAATGTATCATAAAATTAATCATTGGCGTAAATCAAATTATTCATTACAAACATACCATGAGCATCCTGTCTAAATAACTATTTCATTTTTCAGGTGATTCAAGTGACCCTGTGGAGAATCGAAAAGGTGGAAGGAGGTCCCGCCGCTTCCAATTTATTAATTGCAGTGTGCAGATATTGTAAAAAATACATAAAAATATTTGAATGGTTCTGCAGTTATTTATTGAAGATGTTTCCAACAAAAACATTGAGGTAGAGGCATAGGGTTGTCAAACCCGATATGCTAAGGGAAAAGTTCTTCTCGAGGTGCGATACCGGGAAGAATGTGAGGCGAAGCCGAGCCTTGACTGACTGACTGAGTATGGTTTTACGCCGTATATATTTTTTAGCAATATTCTAGCAATATCACGGGGCCTGTTAGCGGGGACACCAGAAATGGATAAATTATTTCACAAATTGTAAACTTAGTGTATTATCATCACCCATATGGGGAATCAAACCATCTGACATTTGTAAAATTGTCACTTAGACGGCGTGAGGAGCGAACGCTGTTTAGAAAACCACTTAGGCTACTTTGCCCAGTAAGTATTGATCAGCCGCCCCATCGAAAAACATTTCGGAAACATTTATATTTTGTGGATGTTTTATATTAAAAATCATGTTCCTCCATAATTATTTCAGCAAAATGTTCACGGACACCAAAATGACCAACCTCCTTGTGCTTGTATCATGAAATGCAAATTTAATTGAAACTTGATCGTTTGCCAGCATTCTGTAGAGTGTATATTAGTAGTAGTTGTTGCAGAAGTAGAAGCAGTAGTAGTGCCTGCTACCACTCAGCCATTTTGGATCGATTGAGCATTTAGATTCTGGGAATGTTTTATATCCATTGGGAAGTTTAATTATTTCTTCTCGATAGTTTCCTGTACGACAAGCATGTGTAAACCATTAGTTTCAATAACGGTTTGTAATGATTGGCTATACTGATTTCTAAAGAGGAAACTTTGAAAATAGTACTGCATTTTTGTCTAGTGCACATGGACACAAATTCATGTGCCTCAATAGGTGAAATCATTTCAGAAATGTTCTTGTATACGATGACCAATTTTTGTGCTTCTGCACATTTCTAATGGGAACTTGATCTTAGCCGCTTAACTGTATACAGAAACCTAACACGCGTTAAGAAGATCAGTTGTGAAATATCAAGCCGTTCGTCTCTGTGCAGCTCAATCCGACTGACGTCATACGTTTATTCAGTGTTCATTTCAAAATAACGCCGCTTTTGTTGAAATGTTTCAAGACATTCATGCAATGTTTGCAGGGCATTACTTCAGTGACAATGCCAGCTACTGGCAGTGTAGACATATGGTGCAGTGCAGTGCTGTGCAGCGCAGCAGACAACTCAGACGTGGCCAATATGCATGTCTCCTTTGTAAACTGTTGTATCTGTTGTTCGATCTATTTGTGCCATGTTTATGTCTATCAAAGCATCACTATTTCTGCCGGCTGATGACTGGGTTAGACCAATGACTTTGTGTGCTGGAGATTAGTTGCCTGAGTCTGAGAGTGTGGGTTCGAATCCCGGATAGGACACAACCCAAAAAATACCAGAATCTATACTGAGAATCTTAGAAAGTGTAATGACAAATATAACGCGTGTTGCATTTGACCATTTTCTTAAGGAAAATGTTTCTAGCTGTTGTTCTGGGTACCGATCCACAAAGCGTTCGTAACGTTATGACCTGTCGTAACTCTATAGTTTGCAAGAGGCTTACGAATGTCGTAGCGCTACGAACGTTTAGCGGATCGGAACTCAGTTGGCACAAAACGACTGCATGAAGCAATAAGCTGTGTGACATGAGCAGGTCATATAATCGTGTGACATAAGCAGGACATATAATCGTGTCACATTAAAGAGATCGATGCATTTGAGTCGTGGATTGGTGAGGTATAACGAAGTTACATGTCACATTCAAGATTTGCGTACTCATGACTTGCATGCATGTGTGCACCGTCAGAGTTAAACGTCCTATTCACAACGCCACTAAGACTGTCACTCTGGATTAACGACAAAAATGAATTTATCTTACCTGTTGTCCCGATAGGGGACACCTCCACAGGAACATTAGCTAAAAATTTATTTTTTCGTAGAATCTTTGATTGGATTTCTTTCCTGCATTCAATTAACAGGGAACCCGATCTCAACTTTTGATTTCTTTCACCTCTCCGGCAAAGCCTTCAATGGCCTTTGATACAGCAAAGGGATTCAACTTGAGAGGGCCGCCATTAGATGCACACATCTGGAATCACACACAAGGAATCGAGGTCAATTGTCGGGGTTGGTGTAAGTTGTTTGGACTTCATCCTCTGAAGACATTAGTGTGCCATTAAAGGCACACTATCACGCCACACTTTTATGAAAATCAATTTTGCATTTCACTCATTAATACTAACTATCAGCCCCCAGCGAAGCTACCGTATAATTTATTCCGAAAAGAATGCGTATTAAGATAACAATATGAAATTATAAAGTTCGAATGAATTAATACAACTTTGCATAAAATCCACTCTCGCGCCCTCTAGCGACCGAACTTTATATCAAGCGACCTCCATAGAGTTATGTCCCTTGGAACACGTTTTACGAATATCCTTTAACGCAACTTGTGATTGAGGCGAGTTCTGCAAACACCAACAACACCGCGTGCGATAGTTTTCGATGCACGGAGCAATCATTTACATTCCATATATGGCAAGTGTTATCTATTTGGAAGCTGTTCGCCTCGAAGTTCAATTATCGATTTCAGGCAGTTCGTAAGGGACAATAAGTCTTTTATTGTATCAATAGGAAGCTAAAGTGAGTGCATGTGCCTCAATATATATATGTTATAGACCAAAATGTTGTCGAAAAAGCATGACATCTGCCTACATATATGATCAAATACAGCTCCTAACTGCAGAGAATGAATATAACATGAGGAATGCATCTATCAGAGAACTTAGGCCTTCGTAAGAATACGTGATATCTGTGCCCTTGACACCATTTACAGTATGCTTATCGCTTTGGCTGTGAAATGAGTCGGTAATTTAACCACTGTTTTAATTGCCTTCTCTTGTTGAAGTGTATAGAATGGTAAGCAATTACCTTCAAGGGCGACAAAATGTGTGTTGAAAAGAATAAACCAGATCAAAATTTAATAATTGATTTATTCAACGCTGCAATTCATAATGCTACCCAAACTATAATATGTAAACTGTTGTAGTTTATCTTCAGTAACGATATTTTGTAAATATATCTGATGAAATTACATTGTAACTGTTTATCCTTCAAGAAACCTTGAATATATTGAAAGTTTTAATTTCACCAACTTTTTAAATGTCTTGCATCGTCATGGGCTTTCTCCCGCCACGTCAAACCGACAAATCGTCATATGACTGAAATAGATTAGCATGTCATCATCCCAGGATGGACATATTTTCATAAATGTATATATATGACCTTCGTCAACTCGGGCTTTCTTCCAAAATGAAGTTCACAAATCCCTGAATATAATCCTTATCAGCATATATACATACATACAAACATACAAATACTTGTAATAAACTTAACGTTTCTTTCCCGAATCATGGTATTTTGTCGTATGCGTGCCTTCTTCATTAGACATATCTGTGAATAATCTGTGGAGATCGGAGATCAGGGTCAGAATTGGTCTTCAGTAACCCGTGCTTGTCGTGAAAGGCGACTAACGGGATCGGGTGGCCAGGCTCGCTGACTTGGTTGACATATCGTATCCAAATTGCGTAGGTCGATGTTCGTCATGTTGATCACTTGATTATCTGGTCCAGACTCGAGTGAAATTCGTGTGTTGTGTGTCGACTATGTATTGCGTGGTCAGACTCTGTTAATTGAACTGACTGATACAGGGCTGGGTTGTTGCTGCTGCTGTCATTTTCACTAGTCTCCTGTCCTAAAAATCACCATATACTTATAATATGAAAAATGGCTTATTGTTCATATTCATTCACAGTGTGTTGCAACAGCTGAATAGGACGGAAAAAAACAATACCTTAAAAATGTATTTAAACACTTTGACCATGAACTTGTTGGATGGTGTTGCTTCTTTGTACTTGTATTCCGCAGTACTTGTATTCTAATCAAGTACTGTCATGATTTAAGGATAGCTCTCGTAACAGTGTTTCAGTAAAGAAGATGAAATATGTATTTATTACTTTGTCTTTGGATGATATAGCTTCCATGTCCTCGTAAAAACACGTTCTCAGGTTGAAACGTACACAGTTGATTCAGTCTATGGCAATATTTCAATAATTTATCAGGTCTAACGACTTACAGAAGTTTTACTCACATAGATAACGTTGACTATTCTTGAGATAGATATTGACTTTGTGAAGCTTCTGGTCGCACATTGACGTTTCACTTACATCTACTTCCTCTCAATATTGGAATTGTGCTGAAGCACGACTGACTACATGTACACTTACTGGTTGCATTTACCTAAAATATTAATTTAAAATTAGCGTGAAATAAAATGTCATTTTCGTATTTATGTACATATACATACAACTTATAACTCCTGAAAAGTTTTCGTTTTAAGATTCGATTTTCAATCAAAACGTGATTGTAGACGTCAAGGGAGTGAATTAAGTTTTAGCAATATTCCAGCTTTTCCACTGTGGGGAACACTAAGAACTGGGCTTAACACATTGAACCCATGTGGGGAATTGAACCCGAGTCTTCGGCGTGACAAGCGAACGCTTTAACCACTAGGCTGCCCCACCGCCCCTTGTAGACATCACAAATAAACACATTGTCTAGGATATTTCTGCGCTGTAACGTGTACATACTTCAACATACTTATGGTGACTGTGTTGAATTTTTCATCATAAGGGATAAATATTTCAATGTAAAAACTGTTAAGGATCTTTTTAATAATGTTAATTACCATTTTATTTTTGAATTTCTAAAAGAAATAGAACTGATAGATGAATTTTGATTCATATGTTTTGTAGATAAATGCATTTTTAGTATTGGTGATGTAAATTAGAAGCTGAATTTGTGAGTGGCTGCATTTTCGAAGGGGGTTGACGTAGCGTAAAATATTGTCCTCCTGAGAGGGTACGTAAGTCCCAAATCATTTCAAGTAATTTCAGTCTACCAGGTTTTTAATTGTAGTATTTTTGTCTTTTTAATGTATGACTACATCTTCAATACTCTGGAAAGTCCTAACCGCAACACACAACAAATTAGGAAAGAAAACACAATGTTTTACATTTTATTTTTTGTCAGTGTTCACTTCATAACTAACTTGACAACACAGTTCTCGAATCTAAGCTCTGGACATGCGGACCGAGGTACCGCAATAGTTGATGTTTCAGGGGCAGTGTTCCTACTTATCTGGACGGCTTCTTTAGGTACTGTCTCGGTTACTGCAGTGGGCTCAGAATCCTGATCAGAAGAAACAGGGTCGGTATTAAGAATAGCACTGACCATACTCTCTTGCTCCTCGCTCGTCCTCGGGGCTGCCTACTGTACCTGAAAATACGCATTTTAGTAACATTAGCAAAGGTTTTCAATCACAGATATTTATTATGGAAATACAAGCTCGGGCGAAAAATTAACAATGGGACATCACATGACTTGATCGATTCTGACGTTACTTTCTCTGGTAATTATGTTTAACACACTCGACTGTCAATTTAAAATATTTCTCTCTTAATTAGCATCTTAAATTATATATATGCAAATCATAATTAGATCATTATTACTAAAAATAATAGGATCGAATTCGAAAGTACTATTTTGTAATAAAATGTAATACTAGTACTTAAACCAAAACAGTATAGAATAGTACTGGGCAACATTACTTCCTAAATCATAATTAATAACAGTAAGTGATAATATTTACATGCATATGTTAGAATATATACTAGGCACATAAAGAAACTGTGCATACAAAAAATTAAAATCTAAATTTATTAAACCTGTGTAGACACATAAGGATTTAAACTCAGAGATTAGTGACATGTATCCAACATGCATGCACGTGCCACGTTCCGTGACGGCAGTGGGTTCGTCCTTGATACGTGCAATACGTTGTTGCACGTGCATTCCGGGAAAGAGAAACAGAGCAAATGAATGCCAAACAATACTGTCACTTTGGAAAGCTCAACCCCTGCCCTTGCGAACGTTCAAAAAATTAAACGGCTATTGAAACGCATAGCATGCCAAGGCTCACGTCTGCACAACGTCATGAGGCCATTGGGATGGTCCGTCGGGGAATGTCTCAACGACAAGTGGCTGCACATTTCCACTCCCACCGGAACACCATTTCTGCACTGGTGAGACGCTACCAGAACACAAATGACGCCTTCGATCGGCCACGTTCTGGACGTCCACGTGTAACAACGCCAAGACAGGACATATAAGGGTGACCCATCTTCGCCACAGGTTTCAGACTGCAGTGATGACTGCCCGAACCATCCCAGGACTTCGCCGTATCCACCCCAACACAGTTCGACAACGTTTACGGGATCATACCACGACGTCCCGCCATACGGCCTATCCTGACACAACGTCATCGACAAGCTCGCCGAATGTGGTGCCGAAATCATGTCCGCAGACTCTTGTTTTGGTGGAGAAATGTTGTTTTTACAAATGAGTCCAGGTTTAACATTTCCTATAGTGTTGGACGTCAACGTGCCTATAGACGCGTGGGAGAACGTTATGCACAGGCCTGTGTCTTGGAGAGGAATCGCTTTGGTGGTGGTTCCGTGATGATTTGGGGTGGAATAACAACACGCCAAAGAACTCCTTTGGGGATTGTTCAGGGTAACTTAACTGGTGTGGGCTACAGGGATCAGATTCTTCGATCTGTGGCAATTCCTTTTCTGCAACGTCATGGCCCTGGGTTAACATTCCAACAGGACAATGCCCGCCCTCATTCAGCAAAGGTTGCTATGGATTTCTTGAAACACCACAACGTTGACTTACTGCCTTGGCCCGCAAATTCACCGGATCTCTCCCCGATAGAGCATGTTTTGGACGAGATGGATCGACGTCTACGCCGTCTTCCTCATCCGCCAGATAACG